AGAAAAATGGTCTTTAGGTGCCGGAGTCTTACCTTGGATATCCTCCGTTTCTCATGATTCATTAAAACATCAATTTGTTCTGGTAACACTTTTAATTTGGATTAATCCAGCAGATCTACATCAAAACGTTTGAGTGACAGGTCCATTTAAAACCTAAAGGGAAAGTACTTTCACTTAAAGGTCCCATGTCATGGCCATTTCTACTGATCATAATTCCATTGTTGAGCTCGACTAGAATAGATTTACATTGTTCAATGTTCCAAACTCACATTGGTTTCTCACAGCATCTCTGTAAAGTCTGTGTATTCACTCTCTGTCCTAAACGCCTTGTTGGAGCTCCTGCCCCCCCCCCCCCCTCCCTATGAGCCCAGTGTGCTCTGATTGGTCGGGACGTTGCGAGGCTCGTTGCGAGGCTCGTTGCGAGGTTCGTTGCGAGGCTCGTTGCGAGGCTCGTTGCGAGGCTCGTTGCGAGGCTCGTTGCTTCGAGCTGCTGCGAGGAGCGGACAGGTTTCCGGGTCGGCGATACAGCGCGAAACTCATCCTGAGCACACACACACACAAACACTCACAGCCGAAAAAAAAAACATGAAGTGTGGCTTGATATTGAGAAAGAAAAAGGTTTATAACGCTGTGAGAATGGGTCTGCGGAGAGCATTGCTCCACGACCCCAACTCGTCTATTACCAACCAGGGAGCTCTATGCAAGTCAATGGGACTCCCTGTTAGTTAGCCAAGGGGTCCTGGTGTGTGAGGAGCTCCACGGATTGGTCCATTTCTTGTTGATCTGGGTGTTCACACGTCACTGAGCCCAGGAAGCAAACAATGGGAAAAGAGAAATGTCCAACGAGGCGTTCTGGGGCAGCACAGACAGGTCTTCTCTGTGTTAGAGTTTTACTCGCTGCAGGGTGCACTTTGAGGGTTTGTGACTCTGCAGACCGTTCACATGCAGAACAACCTTCACAACACAAGGGGACGGGTGATAACCAGAAAAGAATGGCATGGGTCCTTTAAAACTTATCTGGCTTGTCTTTAATAGTGATTTTTGCAGAGTAACACATGTTGATAGACACACTTTAGGAGCCTTAAAATCCTAAATCCTAATGGTTTTTAGCATTTGTATCATATAATGTAGGGCTGTGTATTGGCAGGAATCTGTTCAATTTGTTGAACAGTCAAAAATAAGAGCACCATATGCATATCAATTGTGAAATTAAAGCAATCAAAGCACTGATTTAAGAGTGAATATCAAAGCAGATTTAATGACAGAGTGCATCATATAAACCATTGATTACAAATATATATATAATCATAATTCAAATGGTTTATAATCGATAAAAAACTGTCATAAGAGGGGACGATATCTTTGCAAAAAATGAGAATTTAAACAGTATTACAAAACATGATACTGCGTTATAATACTGTGGATATTTTCATATATTTGGGCAAATGTAGGAAGTTGTGTACTCTCCACATCACCATATCTGATCAATCTAACATCACACAAACTCACCTGAAGTACCTGAAACACTACATTATTATAACATGGATTTTAAATGGGACATTGTGTTCGAAAGACAACCAGACGAGGAGATAATAAAGTACATTTACGGCTTATCAATGTAAAATCAGGTTTTTTAACACACCCCAATAAATGCCAGATAACGTCCAAAATGATGTCTTTTAAACTCCCAGCGCTTCGTTTGATTGGTTATTTTAATATTTAAGTTACAAAGCAAACTCCTAATGAAGTCTGTCTGACCTGAGGTTAGAAATACTCGTAATAAAACGCCAGTTGTTGGCAGCGGTTTAGTAATCAGCGAATTTGGATTTCTGGGTCTTTTCATGGCAACTTGAGCTGCCGAGTAATCTGCGGCCAAAACAGCAGCTGCAACAAATCAAATGGGAACATATCGGATCCAAACGTCATGACGCCATGTGCAAAAACACTGACGCACAACTAACCAATAGGGATAGACGTGCATCATGCAGGATATACCTATTGTAACTGACACACCTTCGTACACAACGCTTATGTCAAAAAAACAACATATTTTTTTGTTTTTTAGGCCAAAGTGCTTCGTTTTCAATTATTTACCTCCTTCTTTTGACTGGATTGTAATTAAAACTCAAAATGATCACATGTATTCGTGTTTTTCTGGTCATTTCCATCACAGATCTATCCAAACCACAGATTATCTTTGCAGTGATAATGATGTATGTTCGGTTAAACCCGTAGATCTGCTCATCAGCCTCGCTTTATTTGCTGATGCAGATTTTGGCGTCCAATCTGTGCGAGGGCTTTACTGTATGTTTGAATAGATGGGATAGACGGACAGATAGGCAAACAGCAGCGGCCCTTTTCATTTTAAAAGCCTCTGTGTGTTTTTTCATTCCTTTTTCTCTGTTTGGGGGACCAGATGGCGAAAGGGGGCACGGAAGCGGCTCTTTTGTCCGAGGCGCCCTCAGTGAAAAGACCCTGTCGTCCTCCTCTTTTAATGTAATCAGCGGCACCGGAAGGGTCCATTTTGGGGGCTCTTGTGAAAAGAAGACAATTGGGGTTTTTGGACACGTCTAGATTACAGAGTTCATCTCCCCCCTTTGACACGGAGGATCCTCAGCTTTGATCAGTGGAGGGTGGAGGTGCTGATCCGACCTCACGAGGGTTCAAAGGTCCGACCCCCATCCTCCGAACTGTTTAAACTGCACTTGGCTGCTCCTTCCGGAAGAAACCAGGGGGTGATTTGGGCGTTTTGGGGGATACCATGACCTGTCTAGACCATCTTGTGTTGCCCTGGTGTTTCCAAGGGGACTTAATGAACTTTGACCTCAAATATAGTTGGTTAGGAGACACTTTGGTCATCCTAGGAAGCAGTTTTTCTGTTTTAATTTCCACTTTTGGGGGTGGGGAAATGAGGCGGGGGACCCACATTGTATAAAGAATCTGCTTTGAGGGAATAGAAGCGTGGCAAAAACGTCCTTTTTTATTTTTTAAAATCCTCTGACATCTGCAGTTTGGACACAAGAACAATAAGATCTTCGCCTCTCAGCTTAGAGATGTATATCGGTGTGCTTCAGGTCATCTGATCCCACAATAACTGAATTACATTTTTGTATTGTTACTATTAATTTGTGACATACTTTGGAAGTTTTTTATTTGTGACATTTACAGGGAGTTTTAATTTATTCATGACATTTTTTTCTTTGGATTTAAAAAAGAAATGTGACACATACAGGAAGTCCATTTTTGTATTTATTTATCCATTTTTTTAATTGTCATTCGATTCATTTTGTAATTTGTGAAACGTATTGGTCATTTTTGGACGTTTTATTCCACATGCGCAGTAAGTAAATCCAACATTTGTCTTACTTCTCAATCTCAACAAGCATTTTGAGGATAAACCCAAACATATACTTTCATTGAGATGTTTTTTTATTTTAAAAGCTGAGTAATGCTCGTCTTCCTGAGCTGCTTTTTTAAGGCGTGCCTTGTTCACAATATATTTTATTATAAGTCCTTTTATTTTATCTGTATTTAAATTGCATGTTTGTATCTCTTCCCAACAATGACTCCCCTTTAATGTGTACTTATACACAGCGTATGCAAGTGTGATTTCATGGAGCTAAAATTATGTTTCGCTCAGATTCTCGCCAACACTGATATATCGTATTGATGTTTACTTTTGTACTATTCACTGTATGGCCTTATTATTGATGTAGAGTATGTCATTTAAGATTTAAACATACACACGTAGAATTGTCCTGCAAAAACGAGGATGAAATGCTTTCAAATTGTGAGAATTACTAGGTTTTCGTGATGTCTCGTGTATTTCACTCCTCTCTCGCGTCATACTTGGATTCTCGCCACAACACAATCCCCAATGTGTGTGTTTGATATTGAGGCCGTTCCTCAGTGTTTGTAGTGACTCCTCCATCATGGCCGCCGTCCCCACTTGTTCCCAAAAACACCCCGCCCTCTCGCCCGCCTGCCACTCAGGAAGCAGTTAAAATGGCAGCATGGCAGCAGAATGAGTGAAAGGGAGAAAAGGGAGAGACGCCCACCGCTGTGAGCTGGAAACGGTCGACTGAACCGAGGCTTTCCTCGTACGCCAGGCGAGATGATTATTATTTCTCAGTGTATCCGGCCGAGTGAGAACAATGTAGAATCTGAAGGAGTCTAGACAGGTAGATTGGGGCGGAAACCAGTGGAGGGGTTAACCAGAAAGCAGGGGTTCACACAGTCTTCATTTGTCAGGGTGTAGAAGCAAATAGTGAGAATTAATGCTATAAACCTCATCTAGACATGGCTGGTGAAAACCCCTTGGCTAGCGTTGTCGTAGTGCGGCTAAATGGGAAATGAAATATGCTTTTTTTCTGACCGTTACTTTAAATATAAGGTCTTGGCCAACTGCCATTTCATTCTCCACATTTTCCGTTGGTGAACAAGCACACGCTGAAAAGGTTAGGAGGGTTATTTGAACAATCCAAGTAACCCGATTACTTTCCGTCAATATCAAATGCAATGCAAAGAAATACTAGGTGTTTTTTACTTAAGTGTATTTTGTGGCCTTAGAAAAGAAAGATATTTAGGATCAGAAATGATTTTATTTAAAGGAAAACCCGGCTTTCATCGTAACTATAAGGGAATACAGTTACCTTTTGTTGTATCCTGATTATCCGTTTACATATAATCTGTTATTCCCTGCTCGCTATATTAATCATATATATCTGTCTTAATTGTAATTTCTCTCAGCGTTGGCCACAGCATGATTTAAATTCTGCTCTGCTACAGTACAGAATATCAGTGGCTATATTCCCTCTTAATGTACAAAGTGCTGTGATCATTTGAACCCTTTGCTCTTACTCTAACAGCTCCATGCATGTGCTTATTATGTCATCTACTTAAACCCAATTAAAGCAAGCTATACGCTACAGCAACCCAACGCTGTTTCAATGAGTAGATGTGTGTGTGTTAATGCCGTCTCAATAACCCATCATCTGCAGGTCTGGCTGCCACTTCATAACAACTCTATTGCAGCAACTGCCTGGTGGAGAATCTTAAGGTGAATTATTTGTAGGACTTCTCCTCACTCTGAATGACATTTTTCTTATTGTCTCGTGGTGTGAATGTGTTGATTGTGCTTCCCTCCACAGTGCAGAGTGGACGAGGAGGAAGATGTCATGCTAAGGATGGGTTTTGGGGAGGATGATGCTGCTGTTGATGCTCTCACTTTGTGCCTCTGTCAGTTGTGATGCGTAACCACAGAGTGAGTGACAGTTGGGTCCCGAGGGAGAGCAGGGGGCCTGAGGTGAGTCGGATGTATCCTTGACCCTGTCTCACTGTGTCAGCAAGAGACACAACTCAGTAACAAAGGCCAGAGATGGCATGACTGTACATTGTACATCTTAATTTCAGAATATAGAGGGAGGCTGCAGTGGCCGACAGGTGCAAACAACAGACGCACAGTAAGGGGAAACACGCTGTAGCTTCAGAAAGGATGCAGATATAAAAACAGAAATGTTCCACAACATCTTCAGCAACTTGACAACACATGCAGCGTTTAGAGAACATTCAGCAACTTGAGGAGACATGGCAGCGTCTACTAAAAGCTGTAGAAACCAAACACAACGGAGACCAGGGGACACTAAAGAGTGACGCACACAGCCGGGAGACCAGGGGACACTAAAGAGTGATGCACACAGCTGGGAGACCAGGGGACACTAAAGAGTGACGCACACAGCTAGTAGACCAGGGGACACTAAAGAGTGACAGCTGGGAGACCAGGGGACACTAAAGAGTGAGACACACAGCTGGGAGACCAGGGGACACTGAAGAGTGACGCACACAGCTGGGAGACCAGGGGACACTGAAGAGTGACGCACACAGCTGGGAGACCAGGGGACACTAAAGAGTGACGCACACAGCTAGTAGACCAGGGGACACTAAAAAGTGACGCACACAGCTGGGAGACCAGGGGACACTAAAAAGTGAGACACACAGCTGGGAGACCAGGGGACACAAAGAGTGACGCACACAGCTGGGAGACCAGGGGAAACTAAAGAGTCACGCACACAGCTGGGAGACCAGGGGACACTAAAGAGTGACGCACACAGCTGGGAGACCAGGGGACACTAAAGAGTGACGCACACAGCTGGGAGACCAGGGGACACAAAGAGTGACGCACACAGCTGGGAGACCAGGGGACACTAAAGAGTGACGCACACAGCTGGGAGACCAGGGGACACAAAGAGTGACGCACACAGCTGGGAGACCAGGGGACACTAAAGAGTGATGCACACAGCTGGGAGACCAGGGACACTAAAGAGTGACACACACAGCTGGGAGACCAGGGGACACTAAAGAGTGACGCACACAGCTGGGAGACCAGGGGACACTAAAGAGTGACGCACACAGCTGGGAGACCAGGGGACACTAAAGAGTGATGCACACCGCTGGGACACCAGGGGACACTGAAGAGTGACGCACACCGCTGGGAGACCAGGGGACACTAAAGAGTTAAACATGCATGTGTTAAGTTGCTGGAGATGTTTCTTGATGTGGAACCTTTGTGTTTTTATATCTGCATCGTTTCTGAAGCTGCAGCACGTTTCTCCTGATGGAAATGTTTAGTAGCGCGTTAGCACCTGTCGGCCACCGTAGGAAATGTAGCATACAGAAAGAGCCATATCTGTTGAGGAGATCTGGTTTTCAACCCCCTCATCTTATGAATTATTGAATTGTAATGCAGCAGATCACATTACAGCCTCCTTTGGTTCCTTTGCATGCATTTGTTTCTTCCAGAATGTTTTTAGAACAAGAACTCAGTGCTTATTTTGAGAGATATTCAGCAGTGTTTACCTCAAACACGCTGGTTTTCATTCTGGAGTCAGGGCTTGTTTTTTCGTGCAGGTGTTTTGTTGCATGTTTAACTCGAACAGGGAAGTTTTGGGTGTAAAACTTTCTGTGCAAAGTAAACTTGGGAATGCAGGAAACATGAACTGAGTCGTTGGTGTGAAACTGTGTTATAATTGCATGGTGATTTAATACTAAAGATTGTGAGATTGCATCATCCTAATTGCATGGTTTATGATAAAGACATTTGTTAAGACATTTGAAATGCAATTTAATAACATTTGAACTCGTGCATACCATGTAATGCATACTAATTTATAATAAGTCATTTGGTAACAGACAGGTTTAAGTGTGTTTCATGATATTGTTTACATGAGAAAGCAATTAAAAGTAATGTTTCATATGTATTATTGAATCAATTCATTGATGAACACAATACAACAATTCTGTTAATTGATGAGTTTATTTGATGAGAGGCAAAAACATAATCGTTCTTTAAGATGTGATTTATGTAATGATAAATAAAATATCTTTGTATTTCGGACTCTTTTAGCAATTTGAATATGTTCTGGAAGGTCATGATGATCAACATTAAGGCTTTATGATGAATCAACTAGGCAACAGACTGATGTCGATGTTTCTTGGGGTAAAATAAATGTTTGGTATATCTGCTTCCATTTGTCCCAAAAGATAACATGTCAAAATAATGAAAGTTAGTTACCAAAAAACGTCATTTTATTGAAGCTAAATCCATAGTGCAGAGAAAGTAAAACAATTCAGTCATTGTGTGAAATTTAATATTTTATAAACAGATAAACATTTAATTCAGATTTAAAGTGTTTTCTCATTAATTTCCCCCCAAAAAAGAACAATCAAGTGCTTTCTCTTTGCGCTTCATCAAGGAAACCACATTCTAACTTAAATGTAAGATTTCATATCTCCTGGTTTTAATCCACTCCTCTAAAGCCTGGGGAAACAGAAATGGCGGCTATGGGAAAAAGGGAACGGGGAGAGATTTGTTTTTCCCTGAGTTTCCGCCCTAGTGAACAAAAAGGACCTTTATTGAAAAGCATCTCTTTACAAGGGGTCGCTCAAACCCGGTGTGTGAAATGAGAGTTGCCTGGGTGTGACTTCTGCAGAAAGCATCCGCTCTCCATTGTCTGCGCAGTCATCCATGAGAGATCAAGGGTTACCAAGGTGCTCTGGAGAAGGGAGGGCTCTATGTGAGACACCGAAAGTCCACAAAATACTCATTTCCTTGTGAGTTGGCGGGGGCTTCAGACGCTCGTTAATGAAAAGTGTTGCCTGCCTAGCCTCCTGTACACTATATGTAAAGAAAAGTTAGTCCAGACTCTGTTTACCCCGTGCCGAATGTGTAGAAAAGGTAAAAAGTAATTCTCTCTTTCTTGCCAAGAAGAGTTCAGTCACTGAGCCTCGGCATTAACTTGTATTCTAACAAGATTAAAATATATTCGTCCTGGGGATTAGCATAGTTAGGTGTCCCTTTAGCTCTCTTTTTTGCAGCAGTGGTGCGGTGACAGTGGGCTTTGATCTGCGTACCGAGGCAACAGTCCTGGCTTGGACCTAGCCACTCGAGTGCCAAGTGTGAAATTGGCCTGATGTCATCCCCATTCTTCACCTTTTACATCTTTCACCACTTTAATTATGTTTCCGCCACAAAGCCCGGGCACCTCGGAGCAGCAGATTCCACTCTGGCCGTAGGAAGCATTTTTAGAGAAGTGGGTAAATGACACAGTGGGGGGGGGGGGAGGATGGTGGGAGAGGTCATAGTAGGATGGGGGGGGGGACCCTTTTGTGTTTTAGAGGTAGACATTGATACTCTCCTGATGTATCCTGCGCTCACTTCCATCTTTACAGCTTGAGAACTTGCAGAAAATCACTTTTATTTCATGCATTTTGCTCAACTTCTGCACGTTCTTGCACAAGAGGCGACTTGGTGATTTGTACTCCATGTGATGTTGTTTTGGAGGACACTTTCTTTGCTAATTACTTTCACATAAAAGCAAAGAGAGCGTGCTCGTGCAGCTTCGGCTATTGATTCTGCAGAGAAGGCCGTCCGTGGTCGCTGGTCCTCTCTTTCTTCTTTGGTTTGTGAGCTGTTGGCCGTGTGGGGAGGGGTCACACACACACACACATATTGGTTTGTCAGCATCAAAACATGGTCATCATTACAAGGCACACAATAAGCATGGCCACTATGGCTTAATACTCAATCCACGTCTAACCAGTGTCGTATTCCTACTTGACATTTTGGATAGAGCATATGTGTCTAAAACGTAACGAGCATAGATTTAAAAAATGTACAAATACAGAAATAAGTCGACCAAACCAATATGTCAAAAACACTAAATCTAAAACGGGTGCTTAAAGTACATTTTCAGACGAAACGTAGATATTTCAAAGTATTTAACTATATTTGAAATGGAGAAATAAGTGAACCTCTGTCCATGCATCTGTCCTGATTTGGGTAGTGTGTGCACATGCATCTAAAACGGGTGCATAAAGTACATTTTAGGAGAAAACTTAGATTTTTGAAAACATATTTAAGATGGAGAAACGAGTAATACTGTCCATTCATGTGGTGTCATTATAGGGTAATGTGTGCACCTAAAACGGGCGCATAAAGTACATTTTAAGAGAGAACTTGGATTTTTAAAACCTAAAATAGAGAAACAAGTAAACCAACATCTGTCTTCATGAGTGGCTTACAGGTTTTATTGATTCCCAAACAGTTTGGTTGCACACTTCGATGAATAAACAGGAAGGTAAGATTGTAAAATGTTGACATGTGCAACACCAAGCATCTAAAGCTCACTCTTTGCTGCAATGAGACAAGTTATCTTCCCGTATTAAAGCAGAGCGCTCCTGCAGCTCCGTGCCCCGTGTCCCTGTCTGAACTTCGGGAGTTTCTCTGCGAGTGAATATTTTTCTTCTTGTTGGACCTGAAACAAGTGTGTGTGTGTGTGTGTGTGTGTGTGTGTGTGTGTGTGTGTGTGTGTGTGTGTGTGTGTGTGTGTGTGTGTGTGTGGTGTGTGTGTGTGTGTGTGTGTGTGTGTGTGTGTGTGTGTGTGTGTGTGTGTGTGTGTGTGTGTGTGTGTGTGTGTGTGTGTGTGTGTGTGTGTGGAATCAAGTGTGTGTGTGTGTGAGAGAGAGCATGTGTGGAATCAAGTGTGTGTGTGCCAGGAAAAATAAAATAAACCCGAGTGATAGTAAGATGTGAGTGTGTGAGCGAGAGTAGTGTGTGTACTGGGAGGGGCGAACCAGCCACCTGCAGCCATGACAGGCTTTGACCTTCATTGCTCCCCCTCTCTCCCCCCTCACTCTCCCTCCTCTCTCTCTCTCTTCCCCCCTCCTCTCTCCCCCTCTCTCTCTTCCCCCCTCACTCTCCCCCTCTCTCTCTCTTCCTCTCTCTCTCTCTCCCCCCTCACACTCGCTCTCTCTCTCTCTTCCCCCTCCCTCTCTCCCCCTCTCTCTCTCTCTTTTTCCGCGCCCCTCTCTCTTCTTCTTCCCCTCACTCTCTCTCTCTCTCTCTCTCTTCCCCCCTCACTCTCCCCCTCTCTCTCTCTCCTCTCTCCCCTCACTCTCCCCCTCTCTCTCTCTCTCTTCCCCCTCACTCTCCCCCCCCCTCTCTCTCTCTTCCCCCCTCACTCTCCCCCTCTCTCTCTCCCCTCTCAGTTCTGTGACAGAAGCTTTCAGAGGAGGAGGACTGACCGTCGTGGAAACATCGCTCTATGCACGGCCGTTAGACGTGGCGTTCAAAGACTAGCGGTGCAAGTATGGAAATGCAGATAAGGCATTGTTGTGGAAACATGCCTGGGAATTGTTCAAGCCCCCCCCCCCCCCCCCCCCCCCCCTTCACCACCAACAACCACCACCCCCCTTTTGCATAATGTTTGCATGCTTTTTTGCAAATGTTTTAATCTCAGAAGCCATGAATTTGATCCTGTGTGAATGCGATGCAGAACCGCCCATGAGTGAATGAGTGGGAGAGGATTGTCATGCCATGCAAATGAATAATATGTGATTATATTTGGGAGTATTTGACATCTAGGCAACTATTTTTGTATATATCTGCCTAATTTAAGCTAATAATGCATGTTGTTTTCCAGATTTGAATGCGTGCAGAAGCTCAGCGTTGATTTGAGGTCACACTTTGTGTTTGTTTTTACAAAAAGATGCCAGAAACATGTTTGTGTATAATCTTCAAGGTTTTATTAACTCTTCTTTTGCAGTGTTCAGGAGGCAGTTAATTACACAATTAATACATGATACAAATTATGTACACTTATACCAAAGAATACTTCAACATAAAATAAAAAATAGCATTGTCTTCTACAACTCTGTGTTGTAATTTCATTGAAACATGTTCATATATAGATAGATATACGCTGATGAGTAAATTCATAATGTCGTACCAGCAGTGTTTTCATAAAGGCATTGAATAGTCTGCATTTGAAGTAATACTGCTTCTCTGATTCGGCACAGTTTCTGTTTCAGAAAAAAAGTTCACACTTGAACTTTAAGGCAAAGTGTGTCTCTGTTTGGTGGATTTTAATTCACACACACTTTTTGCAGATACACAACAAAAACACTTTGAAAAAGGCAGAAAAGTCCACAATTTGGTATGGATACAGTCTAAAACTTCATACTCCCGTCGATAAAGTTTATAAACACAGTTATTTTTGCCCCCCCAAGTACAACAAATTGCAGCTTTCATGCAAAAAGGCCCCATAAACTATTTTCATTCACAAAACAAAAAGAAACAAAAGGAAGTTATTGCAAGATAAACAAGCAGTGTGAACACCTCAGATATCTACTCTAAAGCAACACTGGTCATTGGATAGATTTTCTCAATATAATCTATATAAATACACATAAGTCCTTTCAACAACGATTTGTAATACAGTCAGTGATGGATTTGCCTTTTTCATGATAAATGTAATAAAACTGTATATAGAGAAGGATTTGTAGAGGCTATTCTAGAACAGAAGGAGGGGGGGGGTCATCATTGTCTTTATGCTACAGAGTGAGCCTTCGAGCTACAAAATGATTCATATTGCTGGTTAAACTACAACAGCTGCACTGATGCATTGGAGGGGGGTAGCCTAGCTTAGCCTAGCTTAGCATTTTAGTGGCGTTAGACAAAAAAAAATCACTTTTTAAAAACGTATCAAAATTCATTGTCTGCCCAATTACATTTAAAAACACCCTCCTCTCTCTGCCCTGTTTTCACATTGAAACACAAACCAACAAGCACTATGGGAATAATAATAAAAAGTGGTGTTAGCATTTATTTAAATTCACAGTAGCCTGGGTGCAGCACAAATGTTCTTTGGACTTCGGTTTGTTCACTTCACTGACACATCGCAGCTTTAGCGCCATGGAGAAATGACAATCATGAGAGGCCTATAGAAAAAATGAAGGGTGTGAGCACCTCATATTGGGGGGGAGGGGGGGGGGACAAACAATGACTTTTATACAACATCTTTTATAGACGTGATATTGTAGAAATATCTCTATTTATTTTTTTAAAACAATTGATGCTGGTATTCTCTACACTGGCCCTTTATTCGATGAGATTATTGCATTGTAGGCTTGACAGACCCCTCCCATATAACGAAACCCCACTATAATATTCCTGCAGGAGGCTATAGAGACTGACATTCTGTAGGGACGGTTTTATCTGTAGTGGGTGAGCAGTATACTGGTTTCTTTAAATATTTCCTGTAGTTTTGCTGTGATATCTCTATAAAAATCTATCGTAGGATTACTATAGCGTCTGTTCGTCAGGAGGCTGCTCTGTGGTCCTGGTGCCAGTTTAGGGAACCCGACATGTTGAGACCCCAACGTTTAATGATAGAAATGTATAGTAAGGGTCCCAAGAACACAGAAACTGCCGGATGCTAACCTGCATATGTTGAGCAATTTGCACAATTAGTTTACGTTGCGTTAATTAAAATGAATGGCATTGTTGCGTATAAACAATAGTTTGAAAATGGCTTCGCCGATTTGGACACTTTGAGTGGTTTTGGGGGTTATTGAGGATATTTAATGCATTTCTGACATTTTCAGGATCCAAAATTGCAGTTTTAATCAGAAAGTGGCCATATTTGTACTCTCTGTGGACTGAATTTGATATATTTAGAAATAAATAGGAAATCTGTCCAATCCAAATGATCAAGAGTCGACTAAATCTTCCAAATCGATCCAAAATCTAATCAAAATCAGCCCACAGAGTAAAACTATTGCCATTTATGTCAGAAATTGACTCAATTACCCCCAAAAATCACTCCATAACTGTCCGAATCGGCCAAGCCTTTTTTTTTTTTACTATTGTCCACATAATCGCTATAATCGTAATTCATGCTAATTAACACAATGTATGCTAATTGCGCAAATTGCCCAACATATGCAGGTTAGCTTCCGGCAGTTGCTATGTGCTGGGGACCCCATCTATAAATGTTTAACATAAAACGTTGAGGTTATCAACATTTCCGGGTTCACCAGAGGACTTTATGGGCTGGCTAACAGACCTCTGATCAGTCGCTGTCGGATTTCTCGTCCTTGGACGTGACGGTGGCGTGATTGTAAAGTCCCTGTGCCATCAGGTGCAAGGCCAGAGAGTTTTTTGCCCCGCTGGCCTTCTTGATTTTGGCCCTCTTGTTCTGGAACCAGATCTTGATTTGGGACTCGTTGAGGCCCAGCTCCTGCGCCAGGTGCTGCCGCCGCTGCTCCGTCAGATATCGGTTCGTCTGGAACTCGGTTTTTAGTCTTTGCAGCTGTTCTGCAGTGAAGGCCGTCCGTGGTCGTTTGTCCTCTTTGCTGCTGCTGCTGCTGCTGCTGCTGCTGGTTGGGGGGGTGGTGGGTGTGGTGGTGGTGGTGGTGGTGGTCGATTTCTTCTTTGGTTTTCGAGATCTTGGCCCTGTAAGGTGGGCAGGGGGCACAGACATAGTGGTTAGTCAGCATCAAAACATACAAGGCAGTAAAGTAATCATGCAAACGGTTCAAAAACAACGTTAGAAATTAATTTTAAATATATTTTTGCTCCATAAAATACTCAATCAACCTCTAACTATATCCTATTGAAACAGAGACTGCATATTGATGGTGTTTGGCACTGTAAAGTGGGGAGGGGTCCCGCAGATCTTGGTTTGCCAGCATCAAAACATGGAAAGGATTACAAGTCAACAACGTGACCAAGCATACGGTTTAATATCAATTTTAGAAATGTATTTTAAATATAGTTTGCTCCTTAAAATACTCTATTTAAACAGAGACATCTTAAACTGGTGTTTTTTGGCACTGTAATGTGGGGAGGGGTCACTCGGATATTGTTTTGTCAGCATCAAAACATGGTCATGGTTACAAGGCCAAACGTAATGATGCATACGGCTCAATAACAACTTTAGAAATGAATTTAAAAATAGTTTTCTGCAGTAAACTACTCAGTCTACTCTAAGTGGTATGTATTCCTACTTTTCATGCAAATGCGTCCAAAACTCGTGCGTAAAATGTATTTTAGAAGGAAACTGAATTTTAAAACTATCCAAATTGAGAAATAAGTAAACCAATCCATACATCCAGGGTAATATGAATCCGTGCGTAAAGTCTACTTAAGAAGATAAATTAGATTTGAAAACGTATTTACCATATAATAAACAATTGTGCATGAATCATTATTACGGTAATGTGCGTATTAATCTTGAACTGGTGCGTAATGTCTATTTAGAAGAAAATGTGACTTTCCAAAATAGATAAATATGTAAACCATTGTCAAAACACCAAGGGTAATGTGTATGTATCCAAAACAGGTGCTTTAAGTTTGTTTTAGAGGACAGCATAGATTTTTAAAACGTATTTAACGATCCAAAATAGATAAATAACTAAGTGAACCAATGTGCATGCATCCTCAAGTCATTCGGGGCTTACGTGATTTGTTTTAAACAATTCACAGAATAAGTTTAATTGATTCCCCAAAGCCTTTTTTTGGCACACTTTAATACGATTGTAAAATTGTTGACACCACCAACACCCAGGAACCAAAACCTCCCCCCTCCCTCCCTGTTCCTATCCTTCTTCCTCGCTTACACACACATATAGGCTACGTACACACACACACACACACACACACACACACACACACACACACACACACACACACACACACACACACACACACACTGTCTGTAGTAATAAGGAATTATGAACCAATAGGACGACAGTAGGAGAAACATCACTTTTACGCAGCAACAGCACAGGATACAGTTCGCTGCAGCTGCTTTGCATTTTTGTTTTTGTGGGCCACTTGAAAAGCTCCTCAATGGAGGAAACGTGAAGAGAATTTAGAGCAGCAACACATTACGATCATTTTCATTCTGCTGAGAGGCCTTCGTGTTTGGTTCCCTCCTCCAATCAGAGGAAAACATACATGAAGCTCTACAACACGCCGAACATGATGAATCAGCTTCTGTCTGTGTGTGTTTTCCACGCAGCCCATATACAAGCTGAGCAGCTCTACAACTCGTAGTAGTCCTCTACGCTACTCCATACAGCGTTACATAATGCATGAGAACAAGTTGTACTCCACTTTATGGACGCTCCAGAAAACGCTCCTATTAAGTTTTCTGCAGGCTGACAATGTTTTCTTATAGCCTAAACAAACACAGGGAATAATACCAGGAGACACTTCTGGACAGCACACACACATAAGGAGCGTCCATTGTGGAAACATGCATTTTTAATTCACCCCAAACTCAACTTTCAGCAAAGTGCCAAAACAAGAATATAATTGTTTGCAAAAAGCAGTTCCTCTGGGAGACTTTCAGCATCGAGCTATTTTTTTTTGTATTTATACGACCCCGGTTTCATCATATTCAAACCCGAGGAAATAAACAACAACTTGTAACATTTAAAGAAAATAAATCTGTGCGTAAATTCTAAACAGCTATTTTCAAAATGTATTTAAAATGACTTTTGCGAGTAGTTTAAATACAAGTTACTTTTAAAATACATAATATTCCTTTCTAGTTTCAAACAGGCCTCATCTCACGGAAAATCCCGATTTAGATTGATTTAGATTTATAAAATCACATTTTACAACCGCATACTCTTCGTGGACCAAATGTATTTGCGTTTTACATTTAAATAATATTTCTACAAAAATCCTACGTGCTTTTATGCTCAGTATATTCTCAGTTTTGCTCCGCTCTCTCTGCACGCGTCGCTGCTCCACTCGGGAGAACTCGGTCAAGGCATCCGGGGTCAGTGTTACGGGGTATTTCAGGTTACCGGGAATACGGTACGGAGTGAAAACGATGTGAAGCACCAACCTGAAGAAGGCCTGTCCGAGTACCGGGTGCAGTAAACCCAGGCCGGCCACAGCATGGGTTTACTGGACTGGGGAGGGTTCGAGCTGGCTTGGGAACTGTCTGAGTCTGAGCTTAGGCACTGGTCTCCTTTCTCTCTGCGGGCTTTCAGGGGCTCCTCCTCGGCTATAGGGGGCTTCTTGGTCCCGGTGACAGTGTGAGGAGTGGAGGTGCCCTCCGCCGGCACCGTGTTCCCCCCCACCGGCTCGGTCTGAGCAGGGCTGTGGAGGTTCAGGCTGCTCTCTGATCCTCGGGTCTCTCCACCGTCCTTTTTGCGTCCGAAGTCCGGGCGCAGGATGTTATCGATGAAGAAATTGGTGACCCGGTGCGGGATCTGCGGGTTCCCGGGCTGATGGAGCATGGGGAGGATGGCTCTGTTGGACTCATCTCTGTTGGATTCATCCGCCGACTCCTCCACCACCACGTCTCTGTTGCCCTGATCATTTTCTTCCATACTGATTCACTTTCCTTTACGCGCTTTAACCCCTTTGTCGCCTCTGCAATTTAAAATGTGCAAAAAAGAACTTCTGGGGAGAAATTAAATTGCAGGATTTTTTGCACGCTAAAAAAAATAAAACTCAAATGCTAGTGAGCGCCTCGGACACCATGCAAAATCTTGCAATAGTGTCCTCTGAGAAAAGCATACTTTTTTGACATATATTCCCTCAACCTCGGGTTACAGCTGAGCTAAATGTGCCATTTGCGCACCGTCCAATTTATCCGATTTCTGTGCGCTCCGCTACACCTAAACTAAACTAAGGGTAAATAAAGAGGCTCCTAAACTGATGCTCTAATACTCTCACTCTGGAGTTTTGTTCTTATTTTCAATACGAGCCCCTCGAGTGACGTTTTCCCACCGTCCTCCCAGACACGTGCCTTGGACCAATAGGATGGCAGAAACTAGGCCACGTGACGCAGACCCCGGAGTAGTCCACAAACGCCCATCCTCGCCCCAGTAAAGGGGAAGAAGCCTCATTTAAATCCAGTGCGTGCTCACACACACTCCCAATAATTACTCTGTGCGTAAGAATCTGCATTCTATGTTTTCTTTATTTGAGTTTGCAATGCAAAACATGATGCCCATCACATTGTTTGATGTTTTAAAACAATGGAAGCACCGTCTGTGAAACTGAGACCCCCGGGGCTCCTTTGCTTGCAGGGCAGGGAGGAATTCCCAATAAAACCAACAATAGTACATTTTTACTACATTAAAACATATCTTAGGTGTACATACATGTCATTGTAAGCACTTTGAGATCACCAAACTTCCATTTTAAATCAATTTAAACCCACAAATCAGATTTTAAATCAAACATGAAAAAATCCAGAGCTCAAGACGAATTTGGAGATTTAGGACAAGCTTTTTCATTTACAATATCTAAAAATATATTGAAAAAATCATATTTACAACATGCCTTTGTCTGCTTTACAGGTTATTATAACACCTCTGAGGTCAATAGGACGTGTGGGCCAAGGTTAAAGCCGGGAAACAGTGCACTAGGCTCACATTTGGAGTCATTGTGGACCCTTTAAAACATCTCTTTGAAATCCAATGCAATTACACAACAATAGTCATTATAACCACTTTATTTGAAGGATGTGTCTCATAATTGGCTCCAAAATGCCTGAAAACAGAAACTGTGCCAAGCTAAATGTCCATGTGTGTTTTTGATGTTCTCCTGTTGGCCTCTCGTGACGCTGCGCGCGGACAGGGTCTTTATCCCTTTAACAGAAATCAGTGATGCAAACAAACTGTTTCGGGACACTGAGTCGCGCCAAAGACAAAACTTTGGGTAACTTTGCTGACCGATGTGAAGTTAGCTCTCCTCCTCCCGGGACGCCCCCCCCCCCCCTCCCGGCCTTTAGAGGATCCAGAAGCCGAGTCTCCGCGACTGATCCCGGGCGTAAAGAGCCAAGAGGTACCGAGGAGCACCAGAGACTGAGTGAGGAACAGATCTGTTAGAAAGTCACGCAGCTGCTTTCTTTTTTCATTAGTTTTTTAGGAGGTGGGGGGGAAGCTTTTTTGTGTTTTTTCACCTTTTGCAATAACATATAAACTACTTTGTATGTACTGCTGCTCAAAGCTGTTTTAATGTAAGTACATTTTAAGTTAGACAGTGTCTTGTTATCATCTAAAGACTGAGAACGTGCATTGTAGGTTTTTGTATAGTTGTGTTGGAGCAGAAGGTCTGAGACTGAGTGACTGAGACTGAGAGACTGAGACTGAGAGACTGAGACTGAGTGAGACACAAATCAGTTGGAAAGTCAAGCAACTGCTTTCTTTTTACAAGTTGTTTTTTGGAGAGCAGCTTTATTTTTGATTCACATTTGCAATAAACTCGTTTTCATGTTCTGCTCAAAGCTGTTTTCATTTCAGTTGGAAAGTCATGTATTTGCTTTCTACATATTACTGCACTGTTGTTGTTTTTGGGAGCAGCCTTCATTTCTTAAAACGTTGAAGCATTTGTGTGTTTTTAAATGATTTAGCAGTTTTTTCACCTTTTGCAATAACATATAAACTCGTTTTCATGTATTCTGCTCAAAGCTGTTTTCATTCAGTGAGACAAGATGCTTTCTGAGTGAACAGCTGGAGCAGAAGGAACAATTCAGTTAGAAAGTCATCTGCTTTCTCTTTACTATCACAAGGTGCATTATTGTTGTTTTGTTGGGAGTAACATTTCCAAGATTAGTAAAAATGTATTTGTGATTATCTTAAATTCCTTAAATGGAAACTACAGTATTTTTTATAAAAAAAGTCAGTGTTTTCTAGCTTTTGCAGAACTTACAAGGTACTTTTCGTGTGCTGCTAAAAACTGTTTTCATTTCAGTTAGAAAGACATCCAGATACTTTCTTTTTATTAGGACAAGTCTACAAGTGTGCGTTGTCGTTTTTTCGGGAGTGGGAGAAACTCAAACTCCTTCAAATGTTATTTTGTGGTGAGCCTTTTTTTAATATGATTTCGCAGTTTTAGCTTTTGCCATACCCGCAATATGCGCTTTCCATGCTCCTTTTCAAAACGGTTTAATGTGTTGGTTTCTAAATTGAAACTCGAGAATAAGCCTGGGTGTGTGTGTCTTGCGTAACGCTCCCTATAAGTGACTTTTCACTTGTTAAACACGGGCTTTGTGCAAAAAGCGAAGCAAATGAGATGATTTGATGACCTAGAATACTTTAGTCCATATTCTCAAAACGCACGTCACAGGCTGATATGTGTTTCTTTCTTTCTTCATTTTTTAAAATCCGTATCCCTAAAATCTACCTGTTTGTGTCTCTCGTGGCACAAAGGGCTCATCACATGTCGGCTGCACAGAGTTAAAAGTGAGAGATGTAATTAGACAGCCTCTCTCATGCTGCGATTGTTTCTCCCTATGTGAGGGGAAGCGCAGATTAATGTTGAGGCTAAATAAACACAAAGGACCCGCAGACAGGCCGCTGCTGGCCTCTAACCTCACAGAGCAGGAGGAAATCAGTCTGGAGGAAATGACACCAGCCTCTGAATTATAATAAGAGCATGTGTGCACTGCTAAACATGCACATATCAACCCATATTACAACTCATACAATGCTTTAAAAAGCGATATGAATGCTAGTTATTTCACCTGTTTCTATTTTAAAGTGCCGGTTATGATTTTTACGCACAGCCACTTTTACCCCAAAAGTGCGCAGAAGTAATCTCTTTCTATTTAGCAAAGTACACTAGAATATATGTGTGTTTTCTGCAGTAAATACCACACAATTACACATATTGTATTCCCTATTGTTTGCTCACTTTGCATCGGTTTCTTTTGGACACAATGCTTCCTGTTTTAGGAGAGCCAGTCATTGCTAACTGAGGATTTGTTGTTTGACTGAGGCCTCCGTCTTTACTCTTAGGACACGTCGTCTGTTGATGAAGGGTTAAAATATAGCTACAGCATCCAGTTGATTTGCATATTAGTGTTATTTTTTACAAGTAAACACAGGCAAGCTAGTAAGTGTGATTTTAAACCTGCTTTATTATTGTGTTTGGCTGTTTTTGGTTATTGTCTTCATCGGCTACTGAACCCTTCATGTTATTCAGTTGTTTCTTCAAATATTGCTGGATTCAGTTGGAAGTATCCATGCAAAATGAAGCGTTTATGACCATTGGACATATTTGTAGGTGTGTTTTATTTTTATTGTATCCGTAGGTCTGTGCAAACGTGGTGTTAGGATGTGAGTCGAATTGTTTTATTCTTGCTTTAATGATCTAGAACAATCCAAAAGAGTGCCTAAAACCTGCGCTTACAGTTTCTTTAAGCGTGTGTACTTTTTATTTAGTGATTACTTTAAAACATCCACGCACATTTTGAATAGTCCAATAATGGCGTTTTAAAGACACGCTGTCCTTCAAAGTCGACTATAATTAACCTATTTCCGTGTGCAACAATCGCTCTGCACACACGTGCACGTTCCAAGCGTCTATTCTCTCATATAGTCGACATTTTTTCCACAATTATTCTTTTTTGTAGGCCTTATTGTAATTCCCCAACATACGATCACACCCTCATCACCGCAGCTTGTTGTTCTGAACCTGCGGGACGCACGTTGCCTTGTATTTGAAGCAAACCTCGGATTCAATTTATAATTGACCATGAATATATTCGGTTCTTGTTCATGCAAGCAGGAAATATTGATCATGCACACATGTCATGTCTGTCTGTAAATAAGTGAATGCTTTAAAAACACACACACACTGCATGGTGAAGCTTTCCTGCTTTTGGGGTTAAAATCGCTAAGAAAAAAAATCAGTTTTCGCACTTCTAGTTTTGTTTCTGTGCAGGTTTCATATTATAGCTGCACCCTCCTCCTCCTCACACATACCCCCCCTTCTTACTACTACTATAAGACATCGAGTGCATTGTGCGCATGTGCCCTGTCCTTGAGTTCCTAACCTATTCCCCCCCCCCCCCCTCCTCCTCTCTTCTTCTCTGTATTTTCCTTGGTAGGATTGTCTTCCACGTCACCAGCGCTCAGCACTATGGAGTTACTACAAAAGGTGACGCGCAGAGGAGGATTTGTGAATGGACGCCGTGATGTGTGCAGCTCACAGATCAGAGGGTGCTGGGACCTCTTCTGCAGATGCACCCCCCCCCACACACACACACACACACACACACACACACACACACACACACACACACACACACACACACACACACACACACACACACACTCTCTCCAGATGAATGGGGGTCTCTAATATCAGCTCTGTCACCATGCAGGGCTCGCACCAAATCCTCCAGCTTCCTGTGCCTTTCAAAACCCTGAAAGCCAGCCTCTGCTTTTTGGTGATCCTGTATGATTTTGTTGTTGTTGTTGTCATGCTTTAGAGGGCCTGGAAGCCGCCCTGTTTTTTGTTTTTATCACGGCTCAGGCCAGAGCAGCAGCCGAATGAGAGATGATTAGAACCGGGCCTAATTACGCAAAGTGCAAAAAATCCGAAAAGCAAATTAATCTAAAAATACATTTAAGTGATTTGGAGAGTGACTTCCACCTGTGATGTTCTTAATTACGTGTAGTGTGTTGGAAATGGGAGAACTGGTCAAAGCACCAAAAATACATGGTAAATAAAAGACATTTAGATGAATAAAAAGCAATTATTTGTCAAATCATGAATATTTTTGCAGCGTAAAACACGAACCTCTTTCTGATTAGCGTGCGTAATTTAACTTTTTCTAAAATATGCTACTGTACCATGCTCAATATTCTACTTTCTACTTTCTACTATGTAAACTATACACTATATTCTATTTATAAGGTCATTGCATGATTTACAACTTGTATTTTTAAGTCTAATTTGTCATTTTTACGTCTAGTCATCCAGAAATCATAGTTTACTCCATTCTTTATTCACCCTCCCGCATGATGTCTATATAATTTCCGTGGTGTGTGCGTGTGTGTGCGCGTGTGTGTGTGTGTGTTTACAGATGAATCCTCTGTACTTTGAGGCTGCAGGCTCTTCTGGTGTCAGGCCTTTTATAGGTTTTAATAACTCCTAATCCTTCTGATCGCTCTGGCGAAGATAAGTCTCATTTGAATGCGGATTGTTCTTAAGGAGCGGCGCGTATTTCTGCACAGCAACATGTGCGCCACCCTGAGCGCAATTAAGGCCTCAGCTAAATTGGACGACGGCTAACTGAATGCAGCTGATCTCCCTTCAGAAGACTGCTCACAAATATGAGGAAGACGTGCACGTGCAGTCTTTGATTTCTTAATAATTCCGTAAAATAAGTCAAACTCCTGCATGAATTAACATCAAGGCGAACACTGTTTAGTTGCTGATAAAAAGTGAAGTTTCTGCAGGTTAATGAAGTTGTGACCAAATACAAACTGTATTTAAAGTTTACTACATTTAAAATAGATTTTGCCCGAGTGGAAATAGTTATTTTTTTAGAGCTATGATTAGTGTGTAAATCCTAAACAGGCTGATTAGGAGACTGAGAGGCTGGAGCAGGAGATCAGGCTTTCTGAATCATTTATTGACAAAATACGGAATTTTAAATCGGAGAGAAACACGCCTTCCAGCTCTGAATAACAACCAGGAGACATACAAGTTATAGCAAAACTAACACAGAAAATATGTTTGTATTATTCATTTAGAATTGTAAATGAAGTCAAAACCTAAATGAAGTGCGCAAAAAGAGAAATGAAGGCTCATAAAAACGCATGGTTTACTAAAGTATACTTTAAATTGGAGGTACTTTAACATTGAGTGAGAATGAGTATTTTCATTGTATGCCACGTTAAACTTCTACTTTACTACATGTTTGAAGCCAGTATTATAGTTTTTACTCTTGGCCTACATTTACCTAAAAGCTTTTACAGATTCAGATCATTAGCTAATGCAAAATATCAATCCACTAGTAAATTGAAATATAAAGTCACGATATCGAGAAGCAGTTTATAAAGTAATTTAAATTAGCTCCACTTTCACCAGTAATCCAGTACTTTAATATATATGATTCTGCATAACAAGTACTTGGTACTTTAAGTATTTTTTAATGCCAACACTCTAGTACTTAAGTAACATTTTAGTATGCAGGACTGTCACTATACAAAATGGAGTATCTTCCACCTCTGCACAAAATACTTTAAACCTGGTTCAAAGTTGTTTTTGTTTTTTTCCAATAACGTAATTTAATACAATCTTGACCAAGTCCCTTCAGAAATTCTGTACCACGAAATATGAGAGTGTTGCAGCAAAACAAAGTCACTGAGTATTTTATGTTACTTTATTTTGTGGGCTATGACTTTGTACTGAACTAATAGTGTTGCAATGTTGTCTTTATCCCTTTTTAAATGTCACCCTCATAAATTAACCCCCCAGTCAAATTGGTCTAAGCACCACTGATGCGTAAAAGTTAGAATGTAGAGTTTCCTCCCAAATGTTGCTAAAGTCCCCGGATGTGCATCAGGTAGCTGCCTTTCCCCTCTGAGGCCTTCAGGTCTATTTCAGGTCTCTGGGTTTACATTCTCCATATGCAGCAGGAGGGAATGCAGAGTGAAAGAAAGAATAAGATAATGTACTGTTAGTGACCTGCAGCTCCCCATATAAAGTATTCGGTTCCTCCCAGCATGCTTCACGGGCTTTGGATGGTCCAAATGCCTCGTGCACCTGTCTCAAAGTCCTGTTTACGAGCAGGAGGAACAAGTGTGAGAGAGACAGGTGGAAAGCACTTGCTGCAGAAACTGTCTGAGAGCAGGTTGGGGAAATACTTCTGATTTGAAACATGTGACGTGCAATCCTAAAGACATTAAGAACATTTCCCCAAATTATATCTATTTTCAATTCTCATAAAGTGGGTTAATGATCCAAGCGTTAAGTTACTTGTTTAATAAATCTGTGTGAAAACCTCATACTACTCTTTGCACCTTCTTGTTAGATGCAAACTGCATTTCTTTCTGTGCATTGACAATAAAGTTGGATCTAACAGAAAAAGAAGGAAAGAAACACACGTGCAACTTTTCCCCCTTCCGTGTATTCCCGTTTCTAAAAGTGAGAAACAATTCCTGTAATGTCCGCGCTCCGGAGGTCAGACTCCCTGTGTGGTATCGGATAAAAGAGCAACCGAAATAGCACCGGACTCCCATGAAAGCACCATGTGCCACCGGGTCCCTTTCACCCCTGGGTGCACCTGAGTTGTTTGTACCCCCCCCTCCCCAGCTTCAGATATGCAGTGAATGTGTCACTTATCAGGGGGGCTGAGCTGCCAAAGGCCATTTTAGGCGCAATAACTTTCCCGGATGGATTTAGCCTGCCAACTTTGCGCGTCTCTCAGCAGCTCAGAGAGAGCCTGTTGCTTCCCAGAACATGTCTCCCGCGCCTGCTAATGAAGAAGACTAATTAAAACATGACAAACATCGACCTTTAGTGCATCCTAAACAGGCTGCAAGCATGACTGGGATTATGCAAATGAAGGCTGCTTTCTTTGACAATATGTGAGCAGGTGACTTATCTTATATGTGTGTGTGTGTGTGTGTGTGTGTGTGTGTGTGTGTGTGTGTGTGTGTGTGTGTGTGTGTGTGTGTGTGTGTGTGTGTGTGTGTGTGTGTGTGTGTGAGTGTGTGTGTGTGTGTGTGTGTGTGTGTGTGTGTGTGTGTGTGTGTGTGTGTGTGTGTGTGTGTGTGTGTGTGTGTGTGTGTGTGTGTGTGTGTGTGTGTGTGTGTGTGAGAAAACAGCTCTGCTTCTTTAAATATGGCGCACATCTGTCTGCACAACAGGTGTCTGAACTGTGAGTTATAAGGGTACAGATTATTCTAAAAATCGTGTTTATTTTTCACATTCTGGCATCTACTATGTTTTTATTCAGATGTTGTTCTTATTCCTGCAGCCTTCTGTCACCATGTTGTCCTTTGCACTGTTTTATTGCACTATTTCCTTTTGTTTGAAGTGTGCTGCATTGTTGGAGGAGACTTGTTCATATGATAAATACATCGTAAAGCTGCAGGTAAATCAGAACTCTCCCTCATATGCCCTTATTTATTTTTGATTTATGAAGGAAAAGGCTGATATTAACTTGCTGTGCACCTTGACTTTCTGCCTCTCGGGTATCACGCCCAGCTATTATTATTATCATCATGACGGTGGTCGGTTTAGGGAGTCAGATGTGAGCTGCAATTTTAATTTACACTGGGAAGGATTTGTTTGGATGGCATGCATAATGTGCCATCACATGAGGTTTAGCCTGTCATTGTGTTGTTGTCCTGCGGAGGAAGAAGAGGAGGAAGAGGAGGAAGAAGAGGAAGAAGAGGAAGAGGAGGAAGAGGAGGAAGGAGAAGAGGAATGGCACACAAGGCTAAATCCCACTGTGACGTTGTTTAAACATGATTCTGTGTCTCTGTTTTTACTTTTGATTTACTGTCAAGACAACCGGTTTTATTGTTCTGAAATCCTCTCCTTAGATGAAGAGTGGGGGGATAATAAGACCCTCCGATGGGAACATGTGCAGAGCAGCCTGCCATTTGAATGATCACAGAAGTAATTTGAGCTAAAATGGAGTCCAATGTTCTCCCCCCCCCCCCCAATGCATAATAATTCATTATTCCTGGCCTAGTGGAGAGGCGCTGATCGAGGTTAGAGGACGGGAGTGGACCTCAGCTCTGGTGTAATGAAGACTCAGTAGACCCTAAACACACACTCCCACACACACGTAATCTTTCATTAGACGCTGAAGACCTTTATATTTTTTGGGCCGAGAAACAAGAGAGTGCAATGATTTCCTCCACTCGATCCATTTCATTGACCTTCTCTATCATGCATGTGACTCGCTGCAGCGCCGGAGACATATTCCAGGAATAATCTCCCTGCCTGCCGCTGTTTAATAAACCATCTTTTGGAGATCTGAATTTTTATGTTCTGGTGCATTTAAGGAGAAATCTGAGTGGAAAAAAACACATTTTGGTGTGAAGTTCTCTACCTCTTTTGTATTCAACATGTATTCATGTGTTGTCTGAATTCTCCTGAGATGTATACATGTAATTTTATATGGAATAAATTGATGAATAAAACCTTTTGCAAGACCTCTCCTGTTTCCTGTGCCTCCACTAGGGGTCCATGGAGGTCATGGTGTTAATGTCCAGACAGAATAAGAGGATAAACACTGTCATCTGGTGGCAACAAAAGCCATCACTCCTCACTGTGATCTACCTGCTGCATTTACCGCTCCTCAATGCTCTTGCTTTTAACTTCCACTCTCAGAGACTTGTAAATGTGTGTGGCAGGCAAAGAGAGGAGGAAGAGGGGGAATGGCGTCTTCATCCTGCAAAGACCCCGAGGTGAGGAGAACACACGTTTATAAAAAGTCATTTACTGTGAGGTTTTAAACACACACTGAGTTTGCAGAGGTTAAAGGGGACGAAGGTGTTGCACAACTTTAAACAACAAAGGAAGATAAAGGTGGAATGCTTTTTAATTTATTGGACCTAGATTCTGTAACACTTTCTTGATCCGTACTTTCTATTCTAATCCGCTGTGCCACCTTTCATTTCAGCAGTGGTGGAAAGAAAATAAGTACATTTGCTCCAGTGTTGTACCTTGTTGACATATTAGTACTTGAGTATTTGAAAGAGGATCTACTGTGTTCTGCTTGTTGGGGTTTCCTCTTCCCTGTAGTGGCATCAGGGCGACTGTGGCTGCGAGGGGGTGCGGTCCTTCAGAAGGTTGTGGGTTCGATCCCAGCCCATGCAGTCAACATGTCGATGTATCCTTGGGCAAGATACTGAACCCTGAGTTTCTCCCGATGGCCAACGGTGTGTGAATGTTAGGTCCTAGAGTCAGGTACACTGCTCTGTATGAATGGGTGAACGACATAGCGCTTTGAGAGGTCTTAAAGACTGGATAAAGCGCTATATAAGTCCATTTGACCATTTACCTGTAGTGTATTCTATAGGTTTCTGTGCATGTAAATGGTCTGCAAAGGCTACAAATCTCCCTAAATTGTGTCTTTGCGTGTGAACAGCATGTCATTCCCAGCCAAATCAATAATTCATGCACCTGTGTGGCAACAGCTTACAGTAAGAGACCCCCCTTTGTTTTGGACATGATGTGACATCAAAGACGCTGTAAAAACAAACTCCAGTGGGAAAACCAAAATACACGATTTCCCATAACCAGGCTTCCCTTACAGTTACATTAAAAATGTGACTAGCGTTAAATTGGGGATGTATTCAACTAAAACTGAGCATTGTCCGTTGGCTCAGATTTGATTTGTCTTTTTAACTGTAGATGTGCTCATGGTGTCTACGCTACTGCCTGAATATGCTTCATGATATAAGGTCTTTTAGCAGACGACACATTTTGATATGTTTCCTGGCAGACAACAAATGAATAGGCTCAATAACAGCTAGAGACAAAATGGAAACACAATGTAGCTGCGAGGAGGTGAAACTGATGTTCAGATCAATACATCAGATCTGTCTCCTGGCCTTGGAGGAAGGACGTAGAGAGAGGGGGTGTACGAGGGGGGGGGGGTGTATTTTGGCAATAAGGAGGCGCTCTAATGGAGTCTTTCAGTTTGCCGTGGCTGGAAATGAAAGGAGGCTGAAGTCCGGCCAATTATTGTGCCTGAGAAGAGGAGGAGGGGAGTGAAAGAGGAAGAAGAGGAAGAAGAAGTGGCGTGTGGCGCCGGATCGTTGGCCTGTCAGAGAGACAGATAAATAGATAGAGGGGCTTCCAGAACGAGGGGTTTCCATTCAGAATAGCCCACAGATATTGGCCCCACTCCCAGAAATGTCCCTCCCCAGAGCAAAAGGTTAACTGTCAGTCCCCCGCTAGGTATATATAGAAGTCTGCCCTCCAGAAAGGCGTGTTTTGGGAGAGGAGGGGGAGAGCTAGTGACACACAGGGGGTGGGTTTTATTCGGGGAGGGGGGAGAAGATGCAGCCGAAGACATTATAATGGCTCCGGAGACTGACAGAGGCCATGGACAAAAGAGTGTCCTCATCTATTCAATTTGGGCCTGACAGCAGACACAACAAACAGCCCAGAGACCCCCGGTGCAACGGACCCCCAGACGAAAAAAACAAACCCAAAGCCATTGTGTTCCTGACGCTGCTGAGACGTGTAATTAGGGTAAAAATAAAAGGTCTATATCATGATGTCATCTAGTATTAAAGAGGACATACTCAGCTTTTTCCTGTGGTGTGTTTATTGGTGCATGTAAAGGCTCCTTTTTGTTCATTTCCGTAACATTATGACGTCCCTATGTAACACTCACGCTCCTATTGGCTAGTGCTCCAACACATTGTACACGATAGGTTAAGGGGTGGGATATCTCTTAGTGTTTGACCAATCACAACAGAGCCGTCCAGAACAGACTGGGCTCTGGTTTCAGACAGAGGGTGAAAACAGGTGCTGCAGCCTTTTGAACATTAAAGCATGGAGACAGAGACATGAAGTTATAAACATGTCCTCTTTAAAACCCTTATTGAAGAATGACTAAACGCAGATCTCCTTATGAGGTGTTTTTATTTTTCACTTAAATCCATGGTAGCAAAAAATGATACACCGCTGAAATATCAGACACACAAACGCCTAAAACATCCCAAAGGTGCTTCACCACCTCCAAAAATAAAGCTTCCTCTCCAGAATAACACACCTGAATGTGAGCAGATCGAAGTGATCCGCCACAAAATGTTTAAAAAAGTATGGTTTCCTTCTATGATGACAATTGTTTTGACACAATATATTGTTTCCTCTCTTGTGAGAGTCATTGGTTTTGACTCTGAAGGCATGTGACTCTAATCTCTGAACCATGTTATTGTTTCGGTATCCACACTGCATATACTTGTCAGAAATAATAAATAAATGGGCTCATGAATACTCTGATTGCACTTAATCCTCGCTGACTAACATACTGTAGGTCTAGTGTGGCAGTAATACCTGTCTCACAAGGAAATCCATTTTACATGAGCAATAATGTCGTGTTTGTACAAATGATGAAACTAAAATGGTTATAGTGACAAAAGCACTACGTTCTATAATACACAGGCAATCACAGACTGCAAATCTTAATGTCTTCTTCATCGCCGTATGTTCCCAAAACTAAACTCACCGGAGAGCGGTTTCAACCGGTTTACCCGTGGCAAAAGTACTTTACTCCCGGTACATTACCTCCAGAATAATGCTCTGACTCTGTCCATAACTTAATAACTAAAAATGGTTTTATATGGAGGAGGATTAGGGCCCAAAAGTGAGGATTTTGCAGGGAAAAAATAGTTTTTTCTGAAAATCTGATATTCTTTTCAGAATTCTGTTAATTTTTTTTCTTAGATTTCCAACTTTTTTTCTTAGAATTTCGACTTTTTCTTAGAATTCCTAAATGTTTTCTTAGAATTCCGACTTTCTTAGATTTCCAACTTTTCTTCTCGAAATTCCAACTTTTTTTCTCAGAATTCCGACTTTTTTTCTTAGAATTCCGACTTTCTTAGATTTCCAACTTTTTTTCTCAGAATTCCAAACAAAATAAAATCTCTTTTGGTCAGATCTCCCCAAACACGTCACACGTGGCCCTCCTCATCCTCCACCGTTTTCCAATAATTGTATGGTGTAAATATACCATTCAAGGGTCAATGCGACTTCTCTGAGGAACTTGAATTGTGAGCTTTTTGACTCGTAGCATATTGAATTTACGCAGGTGAGTCACAGCCTGTAAAGACTAATTGTCACTCCTCTACATACTTCCTGTCTCTCTATTCTATCCACCATCGTCACTTTAAAGGAATACTTCCATATTTGGTTTGGGGTCATTCAAAAATAAATACTTAATTTGGTTAAACTGGGAACACACATCTCCCTGCGCTTCAACTGAATACATTTCACTGAGAGAGAGTGAGGACATCTGTTTCGCCCACTCGTACAATTCCCTTTTTATGATTATATATATTAAAAATAACAACAGAAATAGTCTTTTGCACCAAGTCCAGGTGCATCAACACCTCCACTCAGGAAGATGCTTCCAGCGGGGAAATAAAACACTTCAAAATCAAAGAAAAGGCAAAACACCGTCCTCCTGTCTCGATGGAGGTTTGGCCACAAGGAGGTGCATGGCACTTTGTTATGAGGACGAAGTCTAATCAGAGTCTCTTTCCTCCTGTTCTCTCCTTCTTCACGTAACGTGTCCATCTTTAATTCGCCTGTCCTTCTTTCTCTTCTTTGTGCTGCGTTCAGTCCATGTGGGGTTTCTCCACGCCGCCCTGAGGGGAGACAGAAGAGTGTCAATAATACCCTTTATGTATATAGCACCTTTCATGCTGCCCAAAGAGTATGACAAAGAAAATCACAATAACAAATTAGGAACATCATTAAAATATGTAAAAACATTAAGCTGGCTCTTTTTCTGCTGTAACAACGTGCATGTACCCTCGGTGGGACTAGTGAAGGTATTCTGAAAACAATAGAACATGAACAGTGATACATCTAAACACGATAAGCCAAATGAAAAAGACAGGTCTGAGGCCTCTCCAGTTCTCTGTAATGCAACTTTAGGTACTTTTAAAAGTGAAACATTTGAGGATCCAAGTAGAAGATTGCAGCAACACATATTCACCAAATCAAAGTAATGCAGAAGTGAAAGTGCTGGAATGAAGTGCTTCAATGTGAGCTGCTTATTGTCAGATTCATGATGCTGAAGTGCTTTGTAGAGCGATGTCATAACTGCTGATGTGTTCATGACCTCAGGTGACTCGTTTCCAAGAAATCAATCTGAGTAGTTTCACTTTCCTGTGAAGAGCTGCACCCTCTCTCAACAACCAGTAGCTTTTAAGCAAATAAGGACCTGGTGCTAAAATATATTTTAAATGTCAGCACAGGAATATTTAGCTCTCAGTTCCTCCTTTTTTTGGAAGTGCTTATTCCTTCTTTTTGCAAAAGGGGAAGAGAGGACTTCTTGCTCAACACGTGCTGCTTTCTGATGGCTCATTTAGCCATCTTAAAATATCAAAGAGACATTCTCTCGTTCTCGGGTGTTGCTCAACGGTAGCCCCTCGTTGTGGTTTCACCTACAATTATGAAATGTGGCATGTGTACGCAGCACGGTGAGACGAACAGAAAAGCCTCTTGGAGACATATCATATAACGAACAGGAAGTCGGCTATTTAGAATTTTCTATGCAATGTTTCGCACTAACTCGTGCCGCATTTGAACAAACTCTCACGCTGCAAAAGAGATCTGTAAGAAAAAGCCCCCAAAGTCTCGTGTTCCTCCTCATAAAACGCCCCTCTGGAGCAAAAGAGAGAGAAACCCATGAGTGCCGCCTTGTGCCAACATTCCTCCGGCCCGATCACAAACAAAAACAACGAGGAGCAAATGACCCTGTGGTCAGCCGAGTCCTGACTGCCAACACTGTGACAAACAGCTTTAATCTGCTTTCACGCTGCCACTCGAGTCAAACGGAGCGCTGACGGGACTTTGCAGACGGAACGAGGCGAGGCTTCTGGGCACGAGCTTAATGGAGACATCAGAGCTGACTTGATGGGATACTTATGAGAGAAGTGTTTTTAAAGGCCTTGACGTGCTGCGGAAGTAGATTTATTTATTTTTTGTGTGCAAACTTTTGTAAAATGTGATATTTGAAGCGTCTCGCTCTCGGGTGAGGGCCAAAGGGTCTTCAAATTGACAATTATGACATTTGGTATGTATAAGCAGCGCGGTGAGACGCACTCTTGAAGACATATCGTATATCCAACAGGAAGTTTAATTTTCTATGCAATTATTCGTACTTTACTTCTGGGCACGAGCTTAATGGAGACATCAGAGCTGACTTGATGGGGTCATTATGAAAGGAAGGGGGGGGGGCGTCCAATGCACTACTCTTTGGACAATGTTATCGTGGCGCAGCTTAGTAGATGCTCATAACGCGTGCAGAGGAGCTCTCTAATGCAAATCTGAAGCTGGTTGACGGCATGTTTTGTGGAGCTGTGGGATTATTCTGTTTGCTGAACATGCATTTCTATAATTAGCAACACTTAAAACTATCAAAGTATTGTCTTAAATGTGCTTGTTTTTTTACATTATTATGTTTACCATCAACATAAGGCTCGTTACTTGTAACCTAGGATCGTTTTGCATTCCTTTAAAATGAAAACTTTAATTGGAAATCAATGTAGTTTACAGGTTGCTGAACAAAATGAGTCCCCAGCACGTAGAAACTGCCGGATGCCAACTTGCATATGTTGTTAATCAGCCTATTTGTACAGTTGTTTGAAAATGGCATTCAAGTCGATTCTCAAACTTCAAAATGGATTAAAAACAACCGGGAGTTGAAATACGGCTACTTCCTGGTTCAATGTGTTATCGTGGTGCAGCTTAGTAGATGCACCGACTTTAAAGCGTGCAGAGGAGCTCTCTAATGCAAATCTGAAGCGGATTGACGGCGTGTTTTGTGCAGAGTGACACGCCAAACATGAGGTGTTTAACCTTCAAGTATACTCTTTGCAAAATATGAAAGACATCCAGGTCAAGAGTTTTGCATAACTGGAAAAGTTCCCTTGAAAACCGCAGAACTGGAACTGGTTTGGTCGCCGTTTTAAAGTGACATTCCGACTGTCATTTAACTCCATTATCTCCAGAATAATGCTTTGACTTTCTCCATAACTTAACAATCTCCGTCTGAGTTACACGGAGGAGGATCAGGGCCCCAAAAGCGAAGATTTTGCGAAAGATAATCCGTTTTTTTTCCTGAAAATCTGAGATTATTTTCAGTATTCTGTCGTTTTTTCCTCATAATCAGATTAATTAAAATATCATATGTTGCCCTTAGATTTGCTATTAAAGAACTGAGAAGCACATAAGTACTGCACTTGATATCTTTAAGTGGAAATAAGCTGTCAAGATAAAACTTTAATGTATATCTGTGAATTAGACTTACCATGGCGAGCTGGCGTCCGATGTTCCCCACGGTAACTCCGCCTGAGAAGAATATGCACGGGAGCCAGGAGCGCACATACAGGAAGTCCGGAGACGTGTATCTAAAAGAGAGGAAAAGCCCAAAGAATGTACAATTAATATCCATGAAGTAGAGATGTTTTGTTCAGCAGCTGCTTCCAACTTATTCTTAAGGAGTTAAAATAACTCCCATTGATAAGAAAGGCACCTCGAAGGACACCTGCGTAAAGTCAGTTTGAGCGTCTCATCGTGAACAGAAGTCTCTTTTCTCAGCTGTGTGTTTTTGATGAACTCAGTAGGAGGGGTTGTTCGTTTGGCTTCAGGAGAAACAGGGTCTGTTTGATGGCTTCCTGCAGGTGGGACAAGACACTTCTCAGTCTCACAAGCTGTGTAACTAAAACCTACGTGGTTTGTGGTGCGAGTGCAACATGAAACCAGGAGGTAGGGATGACAGAGCACGGCTCATTAATCCTCTGGCAGTTTTGTTTCTTCAAAGAAGGGAACACTTGTCTCTCGTTTGCTTTGTGTGTTTTAATATTGATGTGTCTATTATGAGAATGTGTATACTTATCTCATTTGCTCTGTTCTTTGTTGTGTTGTTGTTTTCTTGGGGGTGGGGGATATATTTGATCTGCTTTTTGTCAGACTGGTTGAAATGTGCACTGTTGCATCTACAGTATGTATTTGACTGCTCAATGACATTCTGTATGTATTCTGTACGACGTGCATTGGGGTTAAAGTCCCCTACGGGCATTGGCGGTACAGATGGGGTCCAAAACTAGCAAGCCACATGAATGTCTGGGAACAAATGAATATGATATATATTGAAGTAACAAGTCATGATATGCTACAGGAATACACCTTCCGGCGCAGACTGAAAACTCATCTCTTTCGACTCCACTTCGAGCGATAGAACTATTAACAAAGCACTTTTATACTAATAAAGGACTGGCTTATCTAAAGCCAGTTGAGTAGCACTTGAAATGTTTGGCTCTATGAAACCTGATGTACTTTATGATTCTGTTTTCTTCAAGGTTGTATTTTGTTGGTCGAACGCACTTATTGTAAGTCGCTTTGGATAAAAGCGTCAGCTAAATGTAATGTAATGGAATACGGCCAGGATCCGTTGAATTTTCTGAATATTGGGTTGCAGATGAACATTTTCAAAAAGGGGGGTTTGTTTAGCATGAAACACTTGAAAGAACTAAATAAGTTAAAAAAGAAAGTAGAAAGAAAGTGAGGTCAAAGAAAACTATTTCTGCTAAGAAGTGAGCAATGATTGAGTCAGACATGCGAGTATCTCACACGGCACTGTCAATGTAATCCATGTACCTTTGTTGTTCATGTTTTTATTATCTTTGCTTTTAAATGAGTGCCATTTTACAATATGTCTCTTAATGCCTTTCATCTTTGTAAAGCACTTTGACGTCCCCTCTGTGTGCACTGAACTCACTGGTAGACTCCGTTGTAGACGAGCAGCTGCGTGAACACGGTAGCGAGGACGGCGGTGGTGATGCCCAACCCGAAGCCGCTCCTGGACCGATCGAACGTCCACCAGAGACCCAGAGATAGAGCCGCCAGCGTGAGGGAGAGCTGCACGTTGTTGTCGAAGTCGAGCTTCTGTGGTACGGGAAGTTAAGGACAAAACCAAACAGTGTAACGCAAACACAGGATTAGATCTAACTCAAATGTTTGTAGAGGCTAAGTTAGGGATCCTGCCAGTTTCCATTATAAGGACCGGAGCACTGACGGACCTATTGATATCGCAAAGTTATTATTACACTTGCTAAAAGTAAATAGAGTTTTGAAAGGCCTTGATGCACAAGTAGATTCTTTCTTTCTTTGTGTGCATATTTTAGAAAAATGTGATATTTTAAGTGACACGTTCTCGGTGTGGGCCAAAGGCTCTTCAAAGCTGCTCAAAGGTAGCCCCTCGTTGTGGTGTCACCTACAATGATGAAATGTGGCTTGTGTATGTAGCATAGTGAGACGAACAGAAAAGCCTCTGGAGACATATCGTATAACGAACAGGAAGTCGGCTATTTTTAACTTTCTATGCAATTTTTCGCACTAACTCGTGCCGCATTTGAACAAACTCTTTCTACAGATTACATCCGATAGACTTAACATTGAGTCAGTACCATCTTAAGACCTTGAGGATCAAAATGTGTGATGTGCAAGGGCTCATCCAAAGTGTTTGCAGCTTTAATAAACCTAAATCATTCTTAAATCATGACATCCTGTTTGAAACTGTAGATAGAACAGTGCTCACATAACACAGATCTGTCATAAAGAACCCACAGGCTCTGAAAGGATACAACACTGGCGTGGTTGATGCCCACGAACACTGCGATGCACCTCATGACGCTGGCCCACTCCCTCTTGAACTTGTGCGGCTCTCCCAGGTGTTTGTCGAGGCACGGATACAGCAGACCAACCACAGCTGTGCAGAGGAGAAAACAGACCAGAGTCAAACACCATAAGCAGACAATCTGGAAAGTCCTGTCACAGAGCGGTGGGATTATCTGTTTGCTGAACATGCACTTCCAAAATTACCAATCGACTATAGATAGATATTATGTTAACCATCAACATAAGGCTGATTACTTATAACCTAAGATCTGGTATCGTTTTGCATTCCTTTAAAATGAAAACTTTAATTGGAAATAAATGTAGTTTACTTGAGTATATTTGGGAGCACTGTGAACCTGGAAATGTTAAATACCCTAAATATTTATGTGAGAAATGAACAGTACGGGTCCCCAGATCGTAAAAACTTCCGGATGCCAACTTGCATATGTTGTGTTCTTCAGCATTAAACAGCCTATTTGTACAGTTGTTCGACAAATCGATCCAGCGTCCTCTTACACTATCAAAATCAACCACACTGGGAGTTGAAAAATGGCCACTTTCTGATTAAATGTGCCATTTTGGATCCTGACATTTCAGAAATGGATAAAGCGTCCTCAAAAAAACAACAAAATAACTTAAATATTGTACAAATCTGCTATTCTTTCATTTGAACTTTTGTACACAAAGGCTAATACTGCTAGTTAATGCTTATTGCCCAACAGATTCAAGTTTTCTAATTGCTGGGGACGCATACTTTACATTTCAAGTATAACACCTTTCCTGGTTCACATCAGGACTCTATGAGCTACTGAAAGTTTACACAATGAAAACGAGTCCCTACATGACATGAGATATTTATTTGGCACTCAGTAATGTCAACAATCTGTAAAAGCCACATATCTCTTTTATGTGTTTCTGCCCTGCAGCACATGGAGGAGGAGGAGGATGTTTTTTTTACTTCTTTCTCCCCCCCACTTCCTGGTCCCTATCCTTAAAAGGTACCGCCCCCTTTCAGCTCACCCGTTATGACACTAGCCAATCAGCGCGCAGGTCGTTTAGTATCCGGCAGCTGCGGCCAATCAGAGTGCGAGAAAGTCAACCCACTGGCAGAAAATGACCACGAAGACTAGTATAGCATTAGACAGGAAGGCTTGTATAATTGCCAACAATAACAAAGCCGAATGATGATTCATGACCACACAGTAAAGTGATATAAAAGGGGAAATAAAAGGAGAGCAGTTTAATATGTACAATTGTGTAAAATGGCACTATTTTACGTTACGTAAGTTTGGTGAGGCATGTGCGTAAACGTTACATTTCCAGACTTTTAGCACCCATAAATTCATGTTACTAGTATTATTTTCGGCATTTACAAAGAAAAGGCTACTTCCCCTCTTTGTCTGAAACTTAGCAGCCAACTCAAACTGCTCTGCACAGATATTTAAAAAAAACTAGCTTCCATTTTTCTCCAACAAACTGTGTTAAACTCACCGGCCCCTGTGCCGCAGCACGGAGGGATCCACCAGGCAGACGAAAACAAAGTTGTCATCACCTCCTCGGGAAACAAGGTGACATTTCTCTGAATCTGCAGCAAGTTGAGCACCAGGGCCAGGAAAGCCCCACGGTGAAGAGCACGAGACCCCTGCGGATCAGATTGGCCGTGCGCACGTCGTGCAGAGATCCGTACGCGTTGCTGAGCACAGAGGTGATTATGGACATCATTTCTTCAGCTTTGGATGCTAACCAGTGAGCTCCGGATGAGTGTTTAGTCTCAACACTTGATGCACAGGAGCAGCTCCAACAGTGGTCCTCTAATCTGGGCATTTGGCACTTTAAAGCTGAAGGAGAAGAAGAAGTGGATATATATAGATCACAAGTGGAGAGAGAGAGAGGACACAGTGTTGCAGAATGGAAACGGTGTTCTGTTACAATAAGTTGGAAAAGCTGGTGTTTACCTTGATCTGGAGACGTCTTCTTCTGTGCGTAAAGACTCAAATCTCGTTCACATCATCGTTAGAGGAGAAAACAAACAGCTCTGCTCCATTCCACAGCACACAGCTCATAGCAGGCACAGGAGCTTCCTCTGCACAAAACAATCACAGCTGTGTCGGGTGAGAATCGGCAGCCAATCAGAGCGCGGCGGGTGATATGACGTAGCGCCACTCCACCGCCCCCTCGTGCAGGACAGACGCACAAACTCCAGTCTGCAGAGCAAGTGAAAGTGGAAACAGAGAAGTATTTAAATGTCAGCCAAAACACACGAGAGTCTGAATCAGAATCAGGTTTATGGTCAAGAAGGTTATTCATGCTCATTTGGCTCATGGTGCATAAATAAACACAAATACAGAAGATACATTATGAGAAAAACGACCCAAAAAAATCAACTATTATAAAATACTATTAAAAAAACATTAAAATATACAGAAATATTTACATGAAATATCGAGAAAAATAGATAAATGCTAGGAATAATATCATGAAATATAATCTGTGCAGTATTGGTATTAAAATGATAAAGCTGTGCTGGTATTAGGAGGTATCTTTGTCTACAAATATGCAAAATATTCAGAGGGTTGTGCAGGACTGACATGAAACACGAACACGAAGAGCATTTGAACAGCTGCAATAAAAAGCAGTGATGCTGTTTACAAAATGAGATGTTATACGAGCTTAGACAATAAAGGTCGCCCAATAAGTCACGATAAAGTCAGTGATGAGATCATATAAGCTAAGATATTCTTTTATTGATCCTAGTATGGGAAATTCCTTCGTCACAGCAGCATGTAAACAAGCATTGCATATGAATTAAACATTACATTAAATACAAAATAACAGCAAATATATATGTATAAACAGTCATACATTAACAAAACAGAACAGTATGTACATCTCAACAGTGTAAGATGTATCTCTATTGAATATACAATATTAATACACAGATTTGAAGTCAGTGTACTTTGATATTACTTGCTAATACATGAGTTAATAAGTACAGTTTGGAAAAGACCCTCTTTTAGATGTGTTTACCACTTCCTGTCTGATACATGCTCAAACTCTCCCAGATATTTTCCAAATAAAGGTTACACAAACTACTTCCCCTCTCCTGGGAACAGGGGTTCGTTGTGGCACATTTAGTTTTGTCTGTTGTTGATGAAAAGTGGTTGAACTCGGGGTCATGTTAAAGGAGGTGTGGCTGAAAAAGGAGGAGTGTGCATGAAGCCAAACGGCAGTCAGTGAGAGATAACGTGAGGGGGAACGGTTCAGTGCCCGAATGACACCATTCTTCAAGGGCCGACAACAACAAGGAACATGTTGTGCAAGAGGCCGTGTGACCTAGCCGGGTGGGCCGAGTGATAACAAACCTCCATGGCATACGTGAGGCAGAAAGCATACATCCATAGGTGCAGGGTTTGTTTTCCACTGAGCCTGAGGACATGCATACACTTTCTTTTGCAGGACACATCTGAGAAAGTTATTTCAATTGAATTATCAAAAAAGTATAGACTAGCTGCTGGCACTGTGTTCAAATTAATACCACGGATGAATCATCTTTTTTTTCATGCAAATAAGCTTGAAAATTAAGCGACGCCTCATGACCTACAGCAAATTTGCAAAACAGAAAGCATATCAATCAGATAGCATTTACTTTCAATTAAGCTAAATTGGTGTAATTATGCCGCCAATATTTAGGGTATTAAATTCATTTTTTTGTTGTTTTTTAAATGACGTGCTTGTTAAAATGAGGGGACTATGTTTCTAGTTGTCACCCAGTTTTCAGCTTTAATAGAAACAGCTGAATTCACCCTGTTTGTATGGCTGCTTCGACATGTGGAGGACAACGATGCCCAATTACTGGGAATATTGTCAGAGAAAACAACCCATGTAAATAAGACACAGAAACACTTCAGGCACAACTTTTTTCCAGCAGCAGTGCTTTGGTCTAGGCTGAAATACCTCAGCAAATATTCCATGCATTGCTGTGAAATGTTGCACAGACATTCATGGGTATCCTAAACACTGCCTTCCTCTCCAGTCTGCAGGAAATAACACAGCAGGCCAGTCCATAGCTTAGTGCAGGAGAGAGAAGACTCTTCTTTACTAAACAAATGGCTTCTTTAAACCACCCTTTAAGTTTTAGGGGGATGGTACAGTCCAATTAGCCAGGTACATTTACAGGTAATGTTCATCAGCTCAGATGTTTGCCAGCCAATGCCAGGATCAAGGTGAGCTTCAAGACACTGACACAACACACATTAACAATCACTAAACAAAATGATAAGCTTCTCAATCCCCCAGAAATGGCACCAAAGTTGTGCTTTTAAGGGAATATCTCTACTGTACTAAACACTTTCTATGTGGTGCTAAAAGCAACGGATAGCATGTTAACAGGCCTAACTGAGACCTGCTTAGCATAATAATAATGCATGTATTTATATAGCGCTTTTCCTGGTGCTCAGAGCGCTTTACAAGCAAGTAAAGGCAAATAACAACAAAGTAATAAGTGCTAAGCTAGGTGGAATAGGAGTTGAAGGCAAGAGTGAAAATATGAGTTTTTAGGGCTTTTTTAAATGAAATGATTCTGTTGTTTGAGCATGTTGTCTTTGTGAGCATGTAGGCAAGCTAAAGTTAGCATTTAGATGAAAGTACTGCTGTGTCTAAAGTCAATAAAGCTCCTAGCCTGAAATAACACTTTGAATTCTAACATCATAGCTGCTTAGCATGCTAGCATTGTCTTTTTGAGCCTGTTAGCACACTGAAATGAACATTTAGCTGAAAGTACTGCTGTGTCTGAAGTGTCCCAAGCTACTAGCATGAATTCAGACTTGTACTTACAAAAGCTGATACAGGGTAGCAGAGGCTACTTTATTCCAGACTTATTTAAAGTTATTAACCATGTCATCACACAATTTAAAAGATAGCCGAGCTGTTTTAGTCCCACATGAGCAGTTTCTGAATGTTTCACATGGATATACGGTTCATCGTTGGCATTACAGTGTGCAGACGGCGCCTTCAGACAGGCCGAGTTTAAATTGGTTTCACTTGAATTGAATGAGAAAGTGCCATTTCTAAAATGGCAGTAATAACAGAATGGTTAAATATAAATGTCACAGCTGCACTCCACTGGAGCGGTTTCACTATTTTGTACCAAACAAGTCAAGCATGAAAGAATATCGACGGGTTGAAAAGTTTGCATTTGTCTCCCTGTCTCTTTTCTGAGTGCAACAAATACAGCATGTCTTATTGGATGAGAGGACATTCTGCTTTTGAATAGGTTTTCTTCTTCTCTCATTCCATAGCTCTTTATCAAAGACACTTTAATATACATGCTCAGTCGTGTCCTCTGTGGTCCTAAACCAACATACAGAGACATTCACTTTGCTGCAGTGCATGGATAACGACATCAGTCATATTCACTCTATCCTAATTGGACTGGTCCATGTGGTTCACTCAGATAAATGGCCAGAGCTTCACAGTTTCACAAAGGGGAAAAGGAGGTCAAAATGAAAAGTGTGCTCACCAAGGCCCCTGAAATCCAGCAAAGGGGACACATGAGTGAGTTAATGGTGTATGTGAAGAATATTCCCCAAATTAATATGTTTATTTAAATCAGTGAGTGTGTTATCTTAATCTAAGAAAAGGTGCATTGTTGGATATGTGTTACCCAGTTGTGTAAAGTAACATTTATGTACATTTTTGAGGTACATGTACTTGACTTGAGTATTCTTATTTGATTCTACTTTATACTTCGCTAAATTTTTGCAGCAAATATTGTACTTTGTACTCCACTAGATTCATTTGAAAACATTAGGGACTTTTGCACTCTGCAAATATGGGATTTTATCATTTGCAGACCATTTACATGAATACTACAGGATAGGGATAACAACAAGACACAGAATAGGGCCTCTTTAATGTTATTACATCCGGCAATATTAAAATGATAGACGCATAAATGCATCACTAATTGTAATCCAGTGATAAAATACATATTATTCCGAAAAAGGCCATTAAGATTTGGTACATTTTGTATGTTTACTTGTAACAGAGTATTTCCCTGTTACTTTCACTGGTGTTACCTGAGACAGCTTCCACACAACACAAATGTATTATATTAATTAAGGGCAGTGGTGGCGAAGTCCATAGGAACTTGGCTTGGCAACTGGAAGGTCACCAGTTCAAGTCCCGGAAAGACCGAGTGCTACCGAGGTGTCCCTGAGCAAGGTACCGTTCCCTACACTGCTCCCCGGGCGCCGTACATAATGGCAGCCCCTCCTAACACTGGCTCAAATGCAGAGAAACAATTTAGTTACATAGTACCTGTACGACGTAATGACAATAAGTTGAATCTTCTTCTTCTAATGACAGAAAGAAAAGGTTAAAAGGAAATATTGTGGGATCCCGCAGGAATAAAGATCCCTAACATAGCTAGCTTAGTTTAGCTAGATGTGCATTAATGTGTAACTGAAACTACAAATCGTAAGCTGATAGGAGGCAATAATAACCATGAAAGTGACTCTGCATAGCAAATAGCTCCTAGCAGAGCAGCCGAGCTGGCGCGGGTGTAGAGGAGGTCTCAGCCCGTCAGGATGCCACGACACTTCAAATGAATAGCAGATCAAGCGTCTCATAGATTATGCTGTTAGACTGGGAGGGGTTGAGTTATAGCTAAAGGAGAAGCATGCTGGGTAAATTGATCCATCAAACTCGAGCTTGACAATTCCTCTCCTCAATCCTGTGTGAAATTACGAAGGGAAACATCCTAATCCGTCCCCTCGGAGAGTTGATCAAGACGAAAACGGTCTCATCCTGTTTGTTCCCATTTAGTTCAGGTGTCA